TATATTAAATATCTTCCTAAAATACTATAATACTTTGATAACATTTTAGAAAAATATTCTCACTTAAATATTTTTAAAGAATCACTATTTAGATTTCTTTAATATCCCATCATCGAAAAAGATCTCCATTTTTATCTTTTAGATTATTTTACTTTTTAAAAATATATATTTTATTTTAAAATTTAAACGTACAAAAAAAATAAATAACTTATCAAAAATTAAAAAATTACCCAAAAATAACTTTTCAAAGCTGGAAAATGGTTCACATATCCAACTAGCAGTTTGGTCAATCGATTCAATGCAATGGTAGTTTTTCCTAGTTCAACTGGCGATTTGGAGCAATTCTTTTTTGTTTTCTCAGTGATTCGACAATTAATCCCTATTTCAGGAGTAGTTTGGTCAATTTAGCAAACAGTTTGACTAGACTGATTCAAGGCTTATTAACAAAAGTTGAGCACTGGGTCGAGCACGTGAACCTCAAGTCGGGTCTGGGTTTATATGTAACTTAGGCAAGTTTTTTTCTTTTAGCTATAAAAGAACAAACTTTTTTTAGCTCATTTTCAACTTTTCCTTAAAAGAATCCAAATTTTTTTTAAAAAATCTAACAATAGCCGGCCATCTCAAACCAACAATAGTCGACCACCTCAAACCCCAAGCTTGAGAATAGGGAAAAAGTTACAAGTATTGGTATTTCAGTTTTAAATTTATTGGATGTCACCTATATATTATTGGGGACTACATAAACCATTGACTTAATTTTGAGTTCATAATGATTTTCTTAATGTGAATGGCAAACATTGTAATTTACTCTTTTTTTATATATAAAGAAGATCACAGGTTAAGAATAAAGGAAAAAGGTGGAAATGCTAGAAGTTAAACTCCAAATTTACTAGATGTTGACTCTTAATAATGATGGTATAAATCAACTGAATTAAACTTTAAATTTAGTTTGTAATTTACTTTAAATTTACTTTAGGCCAATGATCTTTAGATCAGATAACATGTCATTGGAGGCTTGTATTTGAAGGCTATAAATTCAAAAGAGTTTATGTGCCCAATGTTTTTTTTAACAAGTAAATATAAGGTAAGGGTTCAAAACTAGATTACATTTATTATATATATATATATATACACATTTTATATATGCTAAATGTAAATACGAATGGGGGGCATTTAGTTTGGAGGAAAGTTAAATTACTAATCACAGTCTTACTTTTCATGATTTGATTCTTTAGTTTGGTTCATTTAATCTAATTCCTAAGGTTTTTAATATGCCTAACAATGTCAAAAAAGGAGGGTGATAGCTATAAATTAGAAACCTACCTTTCCTTGAGATTTTTTAAGATTATTGATGAAATGTAAATTTATTCCACTATTACCCTCAATAATAGTTTTTTACGATCTATTTTACCCTTAAAAATTAATGTAATTGCATAATAAATCGAGATCCATTTCAACATACAAAGCTGTATTCCTAACCATATGATTGGACACTTAGCAATGATCATGTGCAATTGGAATTTTATAAAGTTAAATATTTATTTTCACTGATGACGTTTTTAAGAAAAACAATGTTCATAATTATAAACGTAGTTAACTCTTGTATAAATAAAATAAAATAAAATAAAAATTTCATTTACAACAATGTTGTTATATTAAAAATGTAGTCATATTAGTGTACTAATATTATGGAAAAATTAATTAAAAATAAAATGTTTTAAAAAAGAAAAACATAGTAAGAGTTGTGAAAAATTTTAATTTTGAGAATTTTATAGTTTCAGAAAGCACTACAGATTTTAATATGATGAAACATAGTTGATTGTAAAAAAATAAATAACAAAAAAATTTTGATATTCATTCAATATCAACAATGTTTCTTAGTATAAACGGTAGTAAAATTGATAAAACATAGTAATTAAGGGATGGAAAATGATTTAGGGAGAAAGTGATCTTTACTTTATATTTAAAATTTAAGAATCTATAGAATTTAAGAACGTTTTAAGATAAAACATAGTTTTTGTTAAAAATATAAAAAAATGTTTTTCAGAATTTAATAAAGAATACATTTCTATGTGTTTTTTTTTATTGAAAACATAAACAAATGTTTTCCAAAATTAAACAAAAACAACGTTTTTAACGTAAAAAATATAGTTTTTTATGAAAAGACTACATTTCTAAGATAAAAATGTAGTTTTTGTTGAAAACATGAAAAAAATATTTTTAGAATTCAACAAAAATGAGATTTCTAAGATAAAAATGTAGTTTTTGTTAAAAACATGAAAAAAAATAATTTTAGAATTCAAGAAAAATAGTGTTTCTAAGATAAAAAAACATAGTTTTTATTGAAAATATAATATTTCTAAGATAAAAATGCAATCTTTGTTAAAAAACATGAAAAAAAAAAATTTTTCAGAATTTAAAGAAGATGTTTCTAAGATAAAAACGTAATTTTTGTTGAAAATACGAAAAATATATTTTTCAAAATTCAATGAAGATAACGTTTATAAGATAAAAACGTAATTTTTGTTAAAAAGACAACTTTTAATAGAGAAAACTCAGTCTATGTTAAAAATATAAAAAAATAAAAAGTAAAATATCTTTGCTTAATATTATTACATATGAAATCTAAAATATATTTACCTAATATTATTATATAATAAATTTGTTTTGAGGGCTTCCCCAAAAAATCCTCGATAGGGGGGTTTACCATCCCTTTTCAACTCTCACGTCAACCTTACCATAAAGGTCAATTCGTATATTTTCTCTACATAAGGCCAATCATTGTTAGGATAGTAGTTAAAATTGTATAATTATATTTGTTGAAAATATAAAAAAATATTTTTCAAAATTATTTAGTTTTAATGAAGACAACATATTATTAACGTGTCACATGTTATTCACATATTAGTATTATTAATATTATGTGTTATTATAGATAATAAAATAAAAAACTTTAAGTGATTTTACATTTTTGTGAATCATATACAAAAATTTTACATTCCCTAAGTTAATAAGAACTCAGAATCATACATCCCCTTTAATATCACTTTTTTTTTTGAAATCCAAGAATCCATAAACCAATCGCTCCTAAAAAATAAATTCTAAATATAGAGTAAACCTTGTATTGTTACATGGTAGACAACTGTTGGCTAAGAAATATAAAGTTGTGAAATGTAGAATACTGACTACGGAAGAGAGCTTACTCAGACAGCACAAATTGTTGGGATTTTGTTTTAAGCATAAACAAATTCCACAATGAGATCAACATAAAATAAATCACATGCAAGAAGCAATATTTAACGTAGTTTGGCCTAATTACTTATAACCACGAATGAGAGAAAATTCATTATAAACGTCGAGATTACAAAGAGTACAAAATATTATAAATAAACATTAATCTCAAGTCTCTGAAACAATCTTAGTTTCCGTGCATATCTAACCTATGGAATATTTTCTATTCCATGCTATTGGGATTTTTTTTAAAACAGAAATAATGAAGTGAACACACTAATAAAACTTTAGCTCAATCAAATAACGAATTGATCTTGATCAAACTACTTAATCGAAACTACACAAAATCTCTTTTTTTGTCATATCATTCTTGTTTTTTTTCAGCCATGTAAGGTTTAAAACCCTATGTAGACACCCTGAAGATAAATAAAAGGATAAAATAAATTTTAAAAAAATAGAAAAGATAAAATAAGTGATAAATTTTGGTGATTAAATGTTTAAAATTCAATTGCATTTTGAAATTAAAATCCAGATTGAAGCTCAGTTTAAATGGAGATCCTATCTCCAACATCATTATTTAATCCATTGGCAGACTACTTTGGGGGGTAGGCACTACTGGCCCAATTACAAAAGAGCAAGCTAGTTCATTTATGTCAGTCATTTCGAGATTTATCAATTTATATGTTGCTGAGCAAATTTGATTGGTGCTTGATAAGTTTACATATGTTTGTAAGAGGTTCAAAGACCAAGTGCTGTTGCTTAAGGAGCCCTTGCGTGCGATAGTTCCATTGCTGACCGCTATTCGGAAGCTTCAGTCATCTACTGAACATTTGACTACTTTACATCCTGAGTTTCTTTTGCTCTGTTTGCTGCAAAGTGCTATAAAACTGGTTTTTCCATTCTAGAGGAAGATATTTTTGTGGTTAATTAGTTGAGAGAGTAATTACGTAGAAAGATTGGGCAAGTGATCAAGTCACCATAATTCTTGATCACTGTCTTCACCAATTCACCCCTGCTAACACCCATAGTTATCAGCCATCACCACCAACACCCATAATACCGACCCTAAAACCAATTCCCAAACAGAATCCAAAATCAGTCTAATTTTAGCCCCAGATACAAGTTTTGGACACCTAATTTTTTGCCTAGCGACAAAAACCTCCACTTGAGATCACTAGCAAACACTCGAAAGTTAACACCATTGCCAAATTGAAAACCACTTTTCATGTGACACTGTCACCGTCGATCGATCTAAGGCCACCACCCATTTGGTTGGGCTCTACCAGTAATCCACCAAATACCTTGCAAGAATTCAGAACACACATCAGGAACGTAGAAAACTCAAGGGAACACAAAATTAAAAGCTGGGCAAAATCACTTCGCTACTTGCAAATCAGCCATAACAGAACCCAGACAGCGCACGACACACCCAACCATGGTCCTAAATTCAACCTCAACTAATAAATCAGGGAATTCACTAACCTGACAGTAATTGCCCCACATCCTAGAAACCCAAAAGAAACTGAGCTTCATCGCTTATTTTTCGCCAACAGGTCATTCACCTTCGACAAGGAATACTAACAAGACAAAGAAAACAACAAAGCAAGGTCAGAAACAAAGAGGAAAATTTTTGGGGTTTCGTTTGCATTTTATCCTAAAAGTTTTGTGTCTCCAAATCAGGTGAGGAAAAATCCAAAAATAAAAGGGAGAATATAACTTAGGGGTGGTGGTGACCGGCGTAACAAGGACATTGAGTTCAGATCCACCACCTTCCTAGGCAAATTCAGGTGAAGCAACCAGGTTTTCTGAAAAATCTATACCAAGATCCGAGATGACGAGATTGAGAAGAGTCTCATGACAAGTTTCAAAGCAAACCAGTGATTGAACGTTCGTCCATAAGTGGTCGATGACGATCAGAGACGACGGCGATTGTGGCATTTCGTCGAAATCTTGTGGAGTTTCTAACCAATGCCTATATTTTCTTAGAGAAAGAGAGAGAGCAAAAATTGTAAAGAGAGAAGAAGGACGTGTAAAATGAAGAGGAAAGCTTAAAAAAAGGCTTTTATAGCTTTGATAAAATAGTGCCATTTTAGCTAAAGAAAATGGGTTCTCTTTGACCCGTTTCAAGGATCTACGCGTCAAAAACTGGGTGATTCTACCCAATCGCTTGAATCGATCCTTATCCCAGTCTAATTCTATGCCATTTGAGCTAAAAGTCGAGCCGTGGCGAGTTTTAGGAGCCGAGCCGTGAATTGCTTTGGGTATTCTTTTTTCATTTTTGTTAGTTTGCTCATTATTTATCAATTATTTTTATGAATGAATAAAAAAAGGTAAATAAATAAAAAAAATATTTCAAAAAAGATATTAAAAAAAATAAAAATATTAATTTTTCTTAAAAATAAAAATTTTAAAAAGGGTATTTTTGAGGAAAAGTTAAAAGTATCAATTTTTTGTATCAATTTTCCTTGAAAATAAATATTTCAAAAAGATATTTTTGAGGAAAAGTTGAAAGTATCAATTTTTCTTAGAAATAAAAACTTCAAAAAAATATTTTTGAGAAAAAGTTGAATATCAATTTCCCTTAGAAATAAAATTTTCAAAAAAATATATTTGAAGAAAAGTTGAAAGTATCAATTTTCCTTGATAATCCAATTTTCAGAACAACGTTTTTTTAGGAAAAATTGAAATTATCAATTTTTCTTATATAAAAGCATGAGCTTTTTTATAAAACAACATAATAAAAAAGATATCTCTATCAAAAGTTAAAGCATTATTCCTTTTTCTTTTCCTTTTTTATTTTTTTTAAATGTCAAATAATATGACGACAGAGCCTCTGTAAAGAAAACAATAGTTTTTTTTACACTCTTAAGATGATGTAATTTTTTTAATTTTTTATCAAAAGTATTGGAGTCAATTAAGAATAATTTTTAATAATTAATTATTTGGTAAAGTTTTTAAGGCTTAATGGATAATACAAAATCGAGCTGGTATCATTATTTGATGGGCGCTGTGGGAGTGCTATAACTTTTCTTACACATAACCGTACTCTTGGACCTAGTTTTGATTTCGTAAACATTGAATCTACCTTTTAAAGATACTTAAGTCAAACTTAGGATTTTTTTTTTAAATAGACAGATTCAGTTAGATGGCCAATCGTACCTAAATAAAAAAGATTAGTAGTGACTCTTCAAGTCAATGTCTAACGATAAATATACTAATCTAGACGTTATGACACCCTATAACTAAGCATGAAAGGATTAAGGAATCCTTGATGAATGGGCTTTAGTTTAGGCCACCTCTCCATAGAGGAAACCAAGCCCAACACAAATGTCCATAAAAGGGCAGCAGACACTGCAAGCTATGATATAATACATCACTTCCATTTAATAGCTGATAACTAATTCTAGACTATATCGAGAAAAAATTGTGAGAAATGTCGTCTCTAATTGGTAAGGTTGAGACCGACGTAGAGCTTAAAGCTTCTGCCGAGAAGTTTCATGATATGTTCTGCAACAGACCTCACCATATATCCAATGCTAGCTCCGATAAGGTACAAGCATGTTCTTTACATGAGGGTGACTGGGGGAAGGAGGGTTCCATCATCTGCTGGAATTACGTTCATGGTAAGATTCGAATTTCCTTTTTTTTATTTTTTCATTTTTTCCTTTAAAAATTGAGGGAAAGATGATTAATTTTCTAGTTGAATTAAGAGTAAAGTTTTGTTCCATATATATATGAACCATAAATAATTACAGATGGGGAGGCTAAAGTTTTAAAAGAGATAGTTGAATCGGTTGATCCAAAGAACAACTCACTCTGTCTCAGAGCGATTGAAGGAGACCTTTTGAAGGAGTACAAGAGCTTCCTAATCAAACTTCAAGTTTCCCCAAAGAGCAACGGTCAGGGCAGTATAGCACACTGGACTATGGAGTACGAAAAGCTGCACGAGGGTATTGCACATCCAGAGACTCTTCTGGAGCTCGCAGTCCAAGTCTCCAAAGATGTCGATTCCCACCTCATCCAAGGAAACTAAATAACTAAGCCAGGATCCATGATCAAGATTGAAATCTGCGTTTGATATGTGTAAGAATAAATAAACAGTGTGAGATATATATCATCTGTTGATGTCTTGAGCTTTTAAGTGTGTGGAATGCCTAATCTCTCTCTGTATATTTTCTTATCTTTGGTGTATCAAGTGAATATGTATGTTGTGCTTCTATTTTTGTGATCATATATATGTGTGATCATATATATGTTCACAAACATACCTTCTATTTATATATAATATTCCACATCAGATTCAATATTCCTCTACCCTTTGCCTTATTGCAGGTTTTGTTCACTTCAAGCAAAGAAAAAAAAAGTTTCATTTTTTTCCTCAAATCCCAATCACTCTTTAACATACTTTAATTCTAATCTTATTTTTAAAGTATATCTAGTTAAAATTTTACAAATCTCAAATTTTATCTTAAAGATTTTTTTTTGTATTTGAAAATAGGTCTGGAGTGTCCTTAATTAAATTTTACATAAGCGTGTTCTTTTTTTCAAAAATAATTTTAAGAGTACACTTTCCAAATCAATTTAATGTATTCAAAATTTTAAGTTAAGAATATTTTTGACATAAATCGAATCTTAATTGATATATAAATAAGAGTTTATATTTGATACACTGTCAGTGTATAGATTCTATATATTATTAGTAAATCAGATGACATCATCTCATTAATGAGCAAATATCAACTCTTAAAATAAATATACAAAAATTAATATTTCTAAAATACTTACTCATTAATGCAACGGTATTATCTGATTTATTTCATTAATGAAATGATATCATCCTATTCATTAATTGTGTATAAAATTTATATACAGATAGTGCATCAAATATAAATTCAAATCCTCTATATATATATATATACATATATGTAATATTTTTATAAAATAATATTTTAAGATTTTTAATGCCAAAATATAAAATATGAAAAATAAATTTGAAATATAGAAAAAGTATAATATAAATTCCATTCAAAACAAGATATAATTTTGTGGTGTTCTGAAAACAAATAATGGCCGAAGAAATTAGGATGAAAGAAATATTACATTAACTTCTCAACTTTTTGAAGAATTAATCACGGTATATTGATATTATAAAAAAATTAAAATTTCTTTACAAAATAGATGAACGAATATATTTTTCCAAAATCTATACGGTCTCATAGGGTTCTTTTCTTCTTTGGATGTATATGCTCTGAAATAATTATTATCGGGTCATCACTATTATTTTTTTATAAAAAGAATTAATTGTGTTTGACATATGGTAAATTCGCCTAACTCATTTTTTTTTAATACATATGATGGGTATAACCCTTAAAAAAAGGAAAAAAAAATTTAATTCGAAACCAATAAACTTTAAAATTATTTTGTAGACTTAAAATATACCCAATAAACTTTATAACCTTCCATTCAAAAGCCATTTGAGCCAGCCCTTGAGCCAGCCCAAATTTATACTTAAGCCTTAATCATGAAAACTCATTTTGGAGTGATGCGTTGACATTTTTGTTGGGATTTTTTTAACAAATTTATCTAAATTGAAAACAAAGAATTGATAAAAAAAGAAAAAAGTGAAAAAAAAAAAGGTGTCATGTTGATATTTTAACGGAAGATCAAACAAAAGTAAAAATGAGTAAAATTTATATAATTGAAAGATGAATGGATGGATGGATTAAATCTTAATTATGTATAAATATAGAATTCTTATTAAATTAAGATATTAAATAATAACTTTATTAATATAATAATATATAAATATAAAATAATTAATTAAAAATATAATTATATATATACCCAGGGCAACACGAAAGTCATTAAATCACATCGAGCTCGATCCCGATTTTTAAAACAAACAAACTTGATTTGATCTCAAATTTTTAAAAAATAGACATATATTAGATTAAATCGAATAAAAATTCTTGAAATATGGGTTTTTGTCATACCTACATCCATTATTATTTTTTTCATACAAAACTTATTTAATTTAAATTTTTTAAAAAAAAAACCAAGAAAATGACAGAAAAAAAAAGAAAACTAAATAGAGATCGCCCTTGGATTCATTAAATTAAGGTCTAAAATAACAATTCTGTTAATACAATACATATTTATAAATTATAAACATAAAATTAAATGAATAATAAAACATATATTTATATATATTAGGACGAGTTGAAATACTCTAAACTTTTATTTAACTTATAGACACCTTATTTTGTCTGAAAATTTTTTGAAATTCATTGAGTTTCAATTTTTAATTTTGATTGTGTATTTGGGCCTTAATTGAAAAAGTGAATTTTAGGCCCAAAGATTAAGTCCTAAATTTTCTTTGTATTTTAATTTTTTAGTTTAATTTTTGGTTTAATTTTTAGTTTTTTATTGAAAAGAGTCAAAGTTAATTGGTATAAACAATAAAAAAATAAAAATAAAAAGAAAAATGTGGGATTTTGCATGAAAAATCTTGGATTTGATTCAACTCTTAGATTCTATCTCAGATTTTAATTTTAATGGTTGAATAATTTTGGAAAGACTTTGAGCTCAATCTATTGAAAAATAAAAGATTACACAAAGAATAAAATTTAGAGAGAAATCCTAGATTTGGTTGAATTAATTCTTTCAAATTGAAAAGGATTCAACCTCTATATAAGGACCTTGAATCTAAGATCAAAAGAGGAAGCTTGAGAGCAATTCACTTTAAGATAAATAGGAGGTCATTTAAAAGAGAAAAAATTTGGGCAAAATAAAATTTTGAATTAACAAGGAAGAAACAATCAAGCAAAAAAAAAATTGCACGAACATCCAGTTGAAGTTTTTGGAAGGAAAGCTTAGATTTATGGTAGAAACATCAATTTGTGAAAAGTGAAAGATTGTTGGAACTCATGATCCATTGAGGTAATATTTACTTCCTTTTATTTTTGTGATTTTTGCATAACTTTTATAATATTTAATTGCCTATTCTTGTTTTTATATTTATTACATGATATTTATTGTTTTCATGAATTTGCATGACTAATATTATATTTGCATGATTATTTATATATTATTATTTGTATGATTATATATTTAATTGCATATTTCACATGGTTTATATATTATTATTTACATGATTGCATGATTTATATATTATTATTTGCATGATTATATATTTAATTGCATGTTTATTTGCACAGTTTATATATTACTATTTGCATGATTATATATTTAATTGCATATTTATTTGTAAGGTTTATATATTTATTTGCATGATTTATAAATTTAATTGCATGTTTATTTGCATGATTTACATTGTTAATTGCATGATTATATATTTATTTGCATGATTATTAATTATTTATTTGTGTGATTGTATGATTATTAATATATATTTTCATAGTTATTTATTCATTCATTAGTATTATTGCATGATTTTATATTTATTGCATGATATGATATTTTATTAATGTTGAATGATATCTAATTGCATGTTTTTATATTTATTTTGTGCATAATTGCATGATTGTACATCATTACTAATATATTTATGTGATTATATCTAATTTCATGATTATATACTTGCATGAATGGTTATTAATATATTTGCATGGTATTTTATATTATTGTATGATAATATATTTGTATGATATTATATATTTATATGATTGTTATTATTGCATGATAATTAGTATATTTGCATGACATTCTTGCATGAATATTTTAGCAGATCAAGGTATGATATTATTACATAATATTTGGTATGATTTATAGTATTATATTTGTATGATAATATTTGCATGGTATGATTTAATATTTATTGCATGATTGCTTGATATTTTGATAAAAATTTTGCATCACCATGTTATGATTTTGATTTGCATGATAAAACTATATTTGATAAGGCTTAGATAAGATAACATATAATTAACTTTGTACCAATTTTGGTCGTAAAGAGGTGCTAATACCTTTCTTACATGTAATTAAGTTTCGAACCTTAATTCTGTTGATGTAGACCAGAACCTATTCTTTTTAGAGACTCTTAGCTTAAGCTTAGGATAACCTTAAAAATGATAGACTCATATAGGTGACTAATCACACCTAACTAAAAAAAATTGGTGGTGACATGATTTTTGTGTCCAATGGGTAAGCTCTTCCAACCTGGACGTTATGACAGTTTGGTGACTTCACTGTGGATATTAGAGAGTCAAACCATTAGTTAGTTATATGTTAGCTTAAGCCTTACTTTAGTAGTTTTTATTATATAATTATTTATGTAGACTAACCTATTTATTTGTGATTTCTTATTTGTTTGTTTTGTATATATTATTTTTTATTTACACTTATTTATTTGATTACTTGGCATGTTCCTTTACACACACCACACTTGCATATATGCATAAGCTCTACACCTGGGTTTTATTTTTTATTAGGAAGGAGCAAGTACCTACACTCTCATGAGGTGATAACCTTTGTGTGAGCTAGTAAAAACTCTTACTCAAATTGAACTCTTTCTGTTTGAGTCTATAATGGTGGGCGAGGATTAGGGGTGCTCTACTAGTCTATAATGGACGATAATATAAGGAACAATTTGGGAGAGATTATCAAGCTTTTGAACCCAATATGTACATGAATCCTAAGAATCCAAACCTAGGCTAGCACCTTTCTTTCCTTTTGCTAGAAAACCCTAAATAAAACACATGATGGCACAATTACTATTCTTGTAAATTTATTCCTTGCATACTAACCTTTTATATTGTTCCTTGTATGTATTGTATGTATATGTTATATTATGTCAACTAACCTTTTTTCTTTATTTTATTTTGCATGCATGCATCATTAGATTTATATAAGGAGTAATTATCACAAAAACAATCTTAACAAAAAGAATCTTAATTATAGCTATGGTGAGCCTACCAAAATTCTCTATGAGCCTGAGAATGAAATATGAAGAAGCTCAGTTTAAAGGAGGTGATTACTTGCCAACCAATTATATAACTATTTTGCTTGCTAAATTTCATCTCAATCTTAAATGAAGTGAATCAGATGATGTCACCTCATTAATGAATAAAATTTTTAGAAATATTAATTTTTGTATATTTATTTTAAAAATATTTATTGATAGTATATAAAATTTATATATTGATAATGTATCAAACATAAACTCATAAAAGATTTATATATATAAAGTAATAAATAAGGGTGACGTTATAAGAAAAGGAAAGTTGATATAACTTTAAAATTTCGCACGAAAAAGAAAGACATTGAATTTGAATTATAGGAAATAGAATTTACCTAGGAAGCAAAAGAAA